AACTGTTGGATAATGTCATTATAAAAAATAAAACTACTATTGCAAAACAAATCTACAAATGAGTCAGAGGGAGTTTTAGTGTACTTATTTGTTTTCATAAAATTTTGGTATCATACAATTTTATTATTCTTATTTAATTGAAAACGAGGTATATATTTGCAAACTCTTGTACATAAGATTTTAATTTTGATTTGAATTTCCTTTATCTCAATCCATTGAGGATGCAATTACGAGTAATCATTATTGAAAATATTGGTGTTGGATAGTTGTTTTCGAGCTTTATTTTTATTTAATGTCTAATATTATAACAATTAAAGATCGTATTAATTGTTTGTATGCAAATCATACGAAATTGACGAGTTTTTTTGTTATAATTATAAAAATAAACAACCATAGGGTAATTGGGTAATCGACAATAAGAAAAAAACGGGATGAATAAATAAAGTTCATAAATCGAATTAATTCTATTGTAGAATTAATAATGCAATGTATGAGTGTTTTACGAAATAATGCAATTCAACTAAATTTTTAAAAAAATGAAATGGCGTTTAATTTTTCCATATGCACACAATGATCAATGAAATATCATAAAGATTCCTTTTTTTGAGCTCAGTTGCAGTCGTACTTCAAACTTAATATACACTAGTATCGACATTACCATTTTGTTATTGATTTTTAATAAAAAATAAGGAGGTAGCACAGTCAGATAAATAAGTAGGTAAAAAAGATAATAGACATGAAAATTACAATTTGTTTACCTTATTCGTAAAAGGAGGGTTTGGTTTTCTTAAAAACTACGACATTTCATCAAATACTTCAAGAAAAATCAATAACAACATGTAAGGGTACTCGGCCTCAAATGCTTTGCGCCACTGGTTCGCTTTATCGAAAATAAATCGAATCTCTACGTCCATTTGTTTTATTCGTTTTTTTTTGTTTTTGTTTTTTGTTTCGTGTTATTTATTTATTCATTTATTTTTTTTTTATCTTTCTTGCGCCAATGCAAAGCTAAAGGCAACACTTTTTCACAATTATAGCCTGCCATTTCCCATAATGTAGGCTCGATAAAAAGTAAAACGATCCCGCACCTTAACACTCGAAAACACTGCAGAAACACAAAAAAATTAGGCAATCTTACGTTATCCTAAAAATGCATTCTCTCGTCCATTCTGTTTGGCTCTCATGCTTTGGCATGATTATGCAGACAAAAATCTCGTACTTGGGAAAATTGCCAGAAACTTTTCGAGGAGTTGGATCAATGATAACGTAGCGCATTCGATTTTACAATTTATTTTTCTCTTTGTCTCTCGGTCTTTACATCCGCACAGCGAACTTTATGCGACGTCAAGACTCACTTTCTCACTTTTATCATTAATATTATTATTTGCTCAATGGCCCGCGGATCGCTTAATTATTTTTCCTCATCTCTTTTCACATTATATACATCTTAATATACGCACACTCTCGAAGACATTTTCAATTATATTTATGATGCAGTTCATCGAAAAGTTAATAGTTCACAATGCGTCGCGTATCGTCGAGTTACTGATGCGTGCGCTTGCATTGACATTTTCTGTTTGTATTTTTAGTAGTGTAAACTTGTCTTTCATATGTACGTATAATTTATGGACGTAAAGATCGCGTTTTACAAATGTTAAAAAAGTTTTTTTTTTCATATTTATTAAAAAATCTTTAAGCGATGCTCACTCACATACGTGAGAATTTGATCCTCCGTTTTGACGATGGCGTTTTTTTTTGTTTTTGTTTGCTACTATCCAGGGACAAGAATTTGTTTGTTACTTTCTGCTTTGAGTTGATTTCCTTTTCTCGGTCAGTCAACGGTTTGAGTGTACCAGATTGCTGACACTCGTCCATGATATAATTAATGTCCACGTCAATCCGAGATACTCGCTTTTTGCCAGTTATCTTCGTTTCTTTCAATAATCTTAATCTGTTTTTTTTTATTTTTATTTTATTTTATTTTATTTTATTTTTTTCCCATTTTTTTCACTATATCCGCTCGGACGCCAAGCCTATGTCAGTATGTAACGTTGTATTATCTAAAAAAATAATTTTTTTTTGACAAAATTAATAATAAAAAAAACATTAAATTCTGAACATTTTTGACAATAATTACAACACATTGCATTTAAAGAAAATTTGTTCAAATGTACATACCTGCATATAAATATGCTAGAGCTTATCTTGAAACAGAAAGAGATTATTTGTGGCCGCGACCGCGACAATATTCTCGGTTGGATGCCACGCTGTGTGCAGAATCTTCTTGTTAAAGTCCAAACAGTCGACGCTAATCTCATCCTTCTTACGTTTACCACCGGTACAGACCTAGGGTTAATGCAAAAGAGTTTCAACGATCCAAAATGTTATAAGACATTGCTTTACTCGGAAGCAAACGTCTTTGCGTCGGAACGTGGGATAGATAGCCTCAAGCAACGTTATGTTAGTATATGTTTAGTAGAAAGTTAGTTTGTTAATTTTTTTTTTCTGCCAAGAGTTAGGTTGCACAGTTAGAAGCGATTTCTGATAGTATTTGAGCGTACCTTGCGTGGCTTTAGGAGTGTCTTGGGCTTGGCAACGTCGCGCGACGCCTCTAATGTCACGTCTCGTTTAGTCGAGCGATCAAACACACGGAAGAAGTTGTTATACGAGCCCGTCATTATGGCAGAGTCGTTGCCGCTCCAACAGCATTCGAATTTGTCGAAGATACAATCGTTTTCATACAACGAACACAGCTTCGATCTCAAATACTCGTGTACCTACAAGAAAATTGAAAGTATAGCTGTTAGTTTGTCGAACAGAGGAACTGTTGGATATCCATTCGAGATACTCACGGGATAACTCTCGATGGGCTTTGTCTCCATATGGAGATCCCAGACTTTGACACTCAAGTAGTCACGACTGATCATGTATCTACCAGAGTTACTGAGTTTCACATCGCTTATACTAGATATGATTTCGGAGAAGAAACTCCGATTTGTTGGATCTTCTGGCTCTTCAAACAGCTTGCTGTGTCTGTCGCAGAGCGCTGCCGATCTCATGTCACACAATCGAATTGTCCCTTTGCTGCTACTGTACACTAACAAGTTACATTCAACGGGATGGAACTCCGCAGCTGTTATGACCTCTGTCAGCTCCTCCATGTTTGTGGGTTTGATATCGACGATGTCTTGGAGTACAAGGTTCAGGAAAATAATGTTTATTTGTTTGTGATTGCTTTTAAATAAAGTTTCAAAGCTTTGAACTAGATTAGTATTTTTTTAAATAAACAATTTATGTGTATCTAATTAATTGGAAGTAAAGCAATAAAATATTTATGTCAGGATTTTGAGAATTTAGTTTTGTAGCGCACATCGTACTTAAAAAGGATACTAAAACTTTGATCTGTGATTTCCAAGTGCCACAAATTGATCCTAAGGTCATCTGCACTGAGATACGTTTCTTGGTCACTGTTGACACTTATACTGTTTATGTGGTAGGTATGCGCATTTGCGAATATTCTCCTTGGCGACGCCTCGACCATCAGTTCCATTGGCTTAATAGTGGGTACCTGAAACGAATTTACGTTTAAAACTTTATTTCAATACTTGGTTTGATGACCAATTTTGATTTCAAGAGTTGCTCATTGTGCTCACCCTTAAGGCAGTGATACACGCAGGATCGCGAATAGCGCCATTTTCTTCCTTTGTATTATAACCTTCCACTCTCTTGTCTCTCTCACTGACTTTCCAAAGCTTGATTGTTTTGTCATTTGTCGAGAGTAAGAAATGAGCCGGATTTTTTCTTTTAAGCCACCTTATTTTATTAATTTTTTCTTCTATTTCTAAGGACTTTAGGTAATCAAATTCAGGTTCATGGCTCTGGAAGGTACTGTACACATTGTACTCGCCTCGTCGTGGAATAATAGTTTTACTCTAAAAAAAAAAAAAAAAGTTAAATTAAAAAATTGATAATTGAAAAAAATTAGTTTTGTGAACTCACGACAGGATCCCTTTGAAATATAACTACACGACCACCTTTATCACCCGTTGCCAGGAGATCACCATCGTGGTTGAATTCCACACATGAGATGATGTCAGCTGAAAAATACGAAAAGGCTATATCAATATGTATTTCATTGTTAAAAGTAACAAATTACTTTTAATACATCTGTGCAAGATTCAAATTCATCAAACTAGAGTATTCGTAGATGATAAGTCTCGCATGGTTAAAAATTCACAAGAGTATCTACTTGATGTGAAAACACTAGCACAGATAAGATAATGGTTAAAGTAAATGTCTTTGTTTAATCCAAGCAAACACGTTTGAAATTTACCTTCTGTGACATCTTCTTCTAAGGTCCCCTTTACTTGGGAAAAACTCCACTGGATGTCCCCATTACCTGAAACAAAAAAATTTACCAAATGAATTTTATAAAACACATATTTTTAATTATTGTTTAAACTCAAAACTTTAACAGGTATGGCTTTGCATTGTTGAATATTTGCTCAATACAACTGTATTCATCAAATTTGTGTTTGGAGAAAATTATAATTATTAAGTGTTTACTATTGCAGACAATATCAAGTAATCAATAGGCCTCAATAATTGATACAGTACTTTTTATCTATGAAATAAATAGATGTNGAATTTTATAAAACACATATTTTTAATTATTGTTTAAACTCAAAACTTTAACAGGTATGGCTTTGCATTGTTGAATATTTGCTCAATACAACTGTATTCATCAAATTTGTGTTTGGAGAAAATTATAATTATTAAGTGTTTACTATTGCAGACAATATCAAGTAATCAATAGGCCTCAATAATTGATACAGTACTTTTTATCTATGAAATAAATAGATGTACATTACTGAAGCAGAGAGAAAAATTGCACAATTAAAAAAAATGTTCAAATATATGATAGTTTGGTTATGCAATTGACATAAAATGTTTCACATCATGGCATGAGGAAAAAACATTATGCTCATTTGAGTGAGCATCTAATCACGTAGCTGCAGTGATAAATACAAAAATAATATTGTTCCAAAATGCATCGTTGGGTAAATATTGGCCCTGCTCGACGTACTATTTATTATTATATATTATTTCGAAGTAACATCTTTGAAAATTCAAAGATAATAGTTATGGCAATCAAACTGATAAAATGACAAGTAAAAGTAGTTGATAAAAAACTAGCCATTTATGAGTGCACACTTTTCAAGAGAACATAAAGAGGATTGCACAGGCCTGCAAAATATTGCCAAGCAACTAGGTATGGGAAATCAATCATAAGCCTCAGAATGTTATACAAAAGTGGAAAGTCCTACTTGAGGCCTCGCCACAGTCCATGTTGTCAGCCTTAGTCAGCAGCAAGGAATAGCTTGCATCTGCACCTTCCTGAAGTTTGGGAAAGCTTTCAAGTCTGCCCTAACGCAGGTCCAACTCCAAAACACAATTTCGTTAATCCACTTGAAAGGAGTTATAGTAACAGCAGCAGCAGCAGCAGCAGCAGTAGCTCTCCTCCACAACCTAACCACTGGCTCTCTCTCTCTCTCCCTCACTTTCTGCGTGTGAGTATGTACACTGTGTGTGCTGCTACACCGTCCTCTCCCACAAGAAAGACCGACCAGGCAGCAGGTGTTTTTTCCCTCTTGTGATACGCTCCAAAGAAAAGGTGGCTGCAAATCTTGGGTCGTCCTTCCACTCGCACGCGCCCTTGGCCCGGGCCAAGCCGAGACGAAAAATGCGAAAAATTGAGGGGGCGTGAGATACTGGCCAAAACTAGGAGTCCTTTACTCCTTTTAGCGCCGGCGAGAGAGTATATACACACGCGCTATACACAGCATATATAGTGTATATACACGCTGTATGCTGTATTTACTCTCACTTTTACGCGTTAGTATAATATATAAATATATGTTGTATACTTATATATGCATACGCAAAAATATACATGCACGCGCGAGCACAGCACACACACAGACACAGGCACCTTGGTTCAAGTGTATAGGTGTAAGAGTTTTATTGGAGATCGCGCGTAAATTGGATAGTCGAAGCTGACGATTTTTATTAAAACCGCGTGCCCCCGACGCACTAGAGCAGCAGCAACAACAGCAGCACTACAGCAGCAGAGGAGTCCAGCACTACACGGACGGTCGAGTCGAGTGTAAGCGGAGCGGGTCGGGCTGATGTTGGTGTATAGCGTATTCGCGTTGAGCTGTGTATGTGTATAGTCGCAGTCTCGCCGCGCGCGCGACTCTCTCGCTCTACTCTTTTTCCTGTCTTCTCTTTTCTCTTCTTCTACTTTTTCAGCTTTATTTATATATCTGTATATACTGAACGATACCAAACTGTACTGTCCTCTCGCCTCTCGCCCCTCTCCGTTATAGGTTACAGTCTCGGTCTCAACGTCCTTTCATATATATACCTATATCCCGTTGATTTTGCGTAGCACAATTTACGCATAAAAAGTATATATTTTTGTTCTCTCTCACTCTCTGTCGTGCCATCGACTCCAATTTTCGAACTTCAGCAATAACAGCATACAATAATGAACAAGTGTTTGTCTCATTAACTATTTTATACGCCATAGCCATACGGATATGATGATTCAAGGTACGTTGAGATTTTTCTTCAATTTTTCGCCTCATTTGTAGAGACAAACCGAAGGATATTCGCATTTCCTGCGGATGATGTGCTCTTTGTCTATATACCTTTGCGTAAGTTTTTCTAAAGTCGTTTGTTGTACTTAATATACGTAACATGTTCGCACGTGCAATTTGCACAAAAAAAAAAAAAAAAAAAAAAAATTAGTGCCGTCACTTTCCAATTGGCAGTTTAAAAGTTTAAAATGTTTTTATTGTCGTATAGTTAAGTGGCGTTTTAATTAAAATAAAAAAATCCACCCTGTGTTTGATTAACAGCTTTGAAAGTTAACTAGTATTTCATCATGTTAACTTACGATAGGTAAATGGGGTATATTTAAAATCATTAGGTGTAATTGAGATTAAATTTTTTGATCAATCGAGGCCTTGGTACTTGGGTGCATCGAATCCTCTTATGTCGATAGCATTTATCATCAAATTAATCATAAATCTTCATTGCTTTGAATATTACTCAAGTCTCTTTCAAAACCTATTAATTTTCATTCAAATCGAATCATTTTCTTTCTATGGAGTAGACATTTAGATATTGTAAAACAGTCAAACTTTGGTAGATAAAATAATACCAGCACACGAACCACGTGATTGTTGATAAAAGATTTTTATGTTATTTTCTTTACATTTCACGGGGAAAAAAATTTAATAGAACATTTTAGCTTAACGATACGATCGAGCAGAGATATTTTCTCCCTTGCAAATAATTTTATGTGGTGTGCTTACGCGTGTGTACATGAGAAATTCTACAAAAAACTGTCAAAAAAAAAAACAAATTTTTTTTTCTCAAAAGGCACGTCTCTAAACACAAATGTTTGTCTTCCTTGATAAATATTGAACAAAAAAACAAGTCTTGAACGTAAATTAAGTAATGGGTGGTACGTTTTTAGAGACATTTGAAGTTTTTTCAATGTATTTCACAATAATTCCCTGAAAAATTTCATCAATTTCATTTATCAATAAAATAAATTTTTTTTTTCATGCAATATGTGAATTAAACTTAAATGAAAATAAAATTCGAGTAGAAATATTTTTTCATTAAATCCGTGAGTTTTAAAAATTGCTCACAAAATTTTATTTTTAAAATTAGCCTAAAATCTAAATTTGTTTTTATCTCAAAATTCGACAAAATTTGAAATGTTTACGAATTTTCCCACATTCCAAGATTCACGTGGAAAGTTTCAAAATACTCCCAACTTAAATGTTTCTTACATATTTGCACTAGCCTATATATAAAATAATATATATCTGTATTACATCATAAAATAATAATGAACGGTTATTCCTTGTTATTTTTACAATTCTTACTCATACTTATGTTAAACCAGGGGCGAAAATTGTTTTCCTTCTATTATTTTTCCTTTGTCACGTGACCTAAGCAAATCAATTGAAGAACCTTCCTTTAAAATAAAAAATTGACCACGAGAATAAATATGATGGTATGTAGTCCACAATGTTTTTTTATTGCTTCCCAAGTAAAAGTAAAATATAAAGCATACCTCCGATATTATTACACATTTTATTTTTTACGCGTCGCGCGAAATATCGATATCTATTGTTAATCTGACCTGATTAGAAGTGACTTTTTCTCCCCCGTAGCTTTTACGAGCGTAATATTGCGATACTTGGGCCGAGTTATTTTTCTTTGTCCATTTGATCGAGCGAGATATTTTCAAAGATCCAGCTATAAGCTTCTAATGGCCGACAGTTGGGCTATGCCTTTATATTATATTATGCTGCAACACTTGCCGTTTTTTCCCATCAGGATTTATAAATTACGTAAATTAGTCATGGATTTTTCCTCAAATGCTTATGTAAAAACGTGATTCATTTCTTCTACGTGAAGAAAATAGAAGTATAGGTACATACTTAATATCGTATTTATAGTTTTGGACATTGATAAAGAATAACCCCGTGATCAATCATCAATGACTAATTTTAGATTTTTCGTTTTGCAGGTGCGCAACTCTTCGACCGGTGGTTTTTATTGCATTGTGCATTCATCATTGGTAAGTGACTGAATGAAATTTTTTTTTTTTAATTTCTCGCAGTAATTTCCCATCGTTTACAAATAATTTAAATGTACGATTTTTGTTTAGAGCTAGTGGAATAAACAAAGCAACTAAAAACGAAACGTGCCTTCGCGTAGTTTGAAAGCTCGAAAAATTTTTCGGCCTTTTCCGACTTTGCGTTCTAAATTAATGCTAATCTGCCGCCTTTGGGACTCCAGCCAAACGAAAACAAATGCGAAAAGTTTTCAGCGATCCAAGAGCTTTTTTTTAACCACCTCGAAAATAATCTGAATAATTATTACGTGGTTTGTACAGTTGCTGTTTGAACACCGCAGTGCAATACCAGTAATATAGATTTTAACAAAAAAATAATACAAAAACATATAGAAGTAGAAGTAATTATATAGTATTTTAATATTTTGATCGAACGTAATTATATGTATACGTATACGGAAAAAGGTGATGATCGTCTCGAGTTCGATTATTATTTATAGAGCTCGCTCTCACCTGCATATTTATTACGCATATAAAAATACCAAACAACCATTATCCCAAAGATATTCGGTTTCAGCTCCATATTTTTTTTTCTATAGCCATACGATATATGTATCCGCTTGGGAATGAAATTTTTATGCCCTTTCAAGAGAAGTTCTTTCAACGAATTCCCGAGTCATCATCGTTGAATGGTAGTATATCGATTTCCAGACAGCGGCAGACAAGCTTTTTTTTTTTCTCAAATTCAAGATCCGCAAACCAACGGGGAATTAAGAACATTGTGGAGCAGAAAACGAAAGAAAAGAAAAATGTAGACCAAGTTCGGAGAGCCGCAACCAGAAATGCTAATTAAAACGCGACAGGCGTACGAGGAAACAAAACAAAAGCCTATTGTTAAAAGGTATACTAGTGCGAGCAATTTTTTTATTCCGGTTGAAAAATTTCCTTCCACGATTTCAAAAAAATGTTTTTTTTCAAGCTTCGACAGAATTTTGCACTGCCACGTACTTACACAGCGCGTGTGGTTTACAATATCTACTTTGCATACGTCAAAAAGCAAACATTCGGTATCTGAGGTACACGCATACGCGTGCACGAGTCATTGTTTTTTTTTTCAAAGTGAGCGGAGCCGAGAGCGCGGAAGTTGCTATTGCGCAATTATATTTTATATATATATGTGTGGTGTATTACATACGTGCATGTGTGTGCTTGCAACGTTTGATATATTTTCCTCTGTTGTGCAGGTTTCTGTTTTGTTTTTAGAATACGCGCAAGCGCGCGATCGGCTTTCGAGAGAAGCGGTAAATTTTGAATTTAATGAATATTCGCATATGAAACGCGTTATCCGCCAGTACAAATTAATGCTCCTTCCAAGTGTTGATCTGTACAAGTTTTCAAAGCTGCGTGCTTTTTACATTTTCATTTGAAATTAATACCGTGGCTCGTTTCTTTCTTTTTTTTTTTTTTTTTTTTTTTTAAAAAAGGAAAAATAAATTTTGATTCAAAGTTGAAAAAACCAATTGTCATTCGCGATAAGTGCCCTTCTCGACGACGACAATGCGAGCGTCGAAGCAAACGACGGAGCAATCAGAAAAGACAAAAGCCCAGATAGTATGTATACATATAGGTGCACAATAGCCATCATACAGCGATAACAAGGGAACCCTCGAGATTCACGCCCTTTGTCTTTTGCAGTGAATATAATACTTGTAAGTGCCTATATTCATTTTTCACATCGAGTGTATTAACAAGGTTGTCCGTTACTTTCTACAGTTTTATTTTTTAGTCATCTACGCGGTGAGTACCTACTGATATCCTTTTATTGTAGCTTGAAACAAAAATCCTAATTATAAAATCTGTATAAAAATTAAACTGACATCCCCCCCCCCCAAAAACTTTTTCGATTTTCCGTTTGAATACCACAAGAGTTGTAAGGATTTGAAGAAATAATTTTTTTCATATTGTTCCAATGATGTTTAATCCGCTAAAAAATCATTAAACAATATTCAGTAGTAACAGCTTACAAAATCCAAACATGTAATTCATTTGTAGCTGTATAAGTAGCTTATTCTTTTTTTTTCTTCGTACGATCTCCATTACTTGGAACAAATAAAAAAAGTCACTCATACCATGATTTAATGAATTTTAACAAACATTAACATACATAACATACCTTTGTTAAATTAATATAAAATTCACCATACAGAAGACAACGATTGGAGCTTACATGTTTTAGCGAAAGAAAATAGAAAGAGAATTTTTCTTTCGGAAACACATACACGCACACAGAGTTACGATTTATAGGTCATTGAACTCCTAAAGTCTCGGTAAAATGAAAAGCATTGAACGAATTCAAAACAGTAAGTGTAAGCACTACAGGTTAACAAATTCATACAAAAAATTGAAAAATAGACACAAATTGTCCACCCAATGATAGGACGCAATTCAACCGCGAGCTTTCTGGGACGCAACTCGGCCATCCTGACCCAAGTCGACTCTATTCATCAAAACGGGACGAAACTCAACCAACGCGTATAGGTATAATTTATAAACATCATATGCGTAAATTTTGTCAAAACACATTTTTGTATTGAAGGGTTTGT